TTCTTCTTCTTCTTCTTCTTCTTCTTCTTCTTCTTCTTCTTCTTCTTCTTCTTTTTAAAATGTTTATTTATTTTGAGAGAGACAGAGACAGAGCACGAGTCGGGGAGGGGCAGAGAGAGAGGCGGGGAGACACAGAATCCGAAGCAGGCTCCAGGCTCTGAGCTGGCAGCACAGAGCGTGACGCAGGGTTCGAACTCATGAACTGTGAGATCATGACCTGAGCTGAAGTCAGACGCTTGGCCGACTGAGCCACCCCGGCGCCCCCTCCATGACATTTCTTATCTGGTGCCTGCAGCCGCTGGGTTTGGGAGGCCTGGACGCCAGCCAGCAGGCTCCTCCCAGGCCTGGGCCCGGCCCCCTCAGCAACACATCCCCCTGGAGAAGCAGGACCCGGACCAGGCTGCCGCCAGTGCTGTGCTCTTGCTGGCGCCAAGCCTGACTTCCTAACGTTCAGGGGGTAGTTCTTCGGAGCAGGCTGGCTCCCCCGGCTTCTGAGGCACCGGGCCCCACGGCCCCCATAATGGCGACACCCTCAAAGGCTGCCTGGGATGAGCAGACTACCCTGAGCGCCCCTCTCCCAGAGCCTAGAGCAGTGGTTTCATGCAGCCCACACACCAGAGTCCACAGGGACCCCACAGGGCTGGGGCTGACGCCCCAGCTCAGGGGGTGCGGCACGGCACTGGGATTTTCCAGAGCTTCCTAGGCGCCTCCTGCCTAGCCCAAGCCGAGCCCGCTGCCTTAGAAGTTCACAGGACTCTGTCAGCCTGAGGCCCCAGTTCTCTTTCCTCACGGGACCTCTTGATCTTGTCCTATCCCCCTCCTGCCACGTCCACTAGACCAGGGCTCCTTCAGCGCCTCCTCCTGGTGCCCAGCGGGGCACGGCTTGGGGTCAGTGGGTCAGCAGAATGCTCACATGGGCCCCTCACTGGTGACCCTCTGCTGGCTTCCGTTTCCTCATTAGAGAAATGGACGTAACCGCCTCCCAGAACTGTGAGGGGTGGGGGGGGACAGGTGGGGAGCAGAGCAGGCGTAAAATTGTGACGGGCAGTCTCTAGATAGGTAATGCATGTCTAAGCATGGGCACAGAATGACAAATGTAGATGGGGGTTGGGTACAGTCAGTCCAACCCTTGTGTGTATGTGTGTGTGTGTGTGTGTGTGTGTGTGTGTGTGTGTGTGTGAGTGTGTGTGAGATGAAAATGTACCATGCTGTTTTGCCCTTTGCTTTTTTATCTATGCAGCTTAGAGATCCTTCCAAAACTCGAATTGCCTTCTTTTTTAATAGTTGTAACATCTGTCATTGCATGGATGAGCCATGATTTATTAACCCAGTCCCTGCTGACGGACAATTCATTTTTTTCCATTCTTTCGCTCTTTCAAGCAGTGTTGCAGTGGGTAAGTTGGCGCGAGTCTGATCTGTAGGATGAAGTCCCAGAGGTAGACCTGGGTATTGCTGCTCTTACCAGTTACTGCTCAGCCGTGCTCCGCGGAGGCCGTGGCTTCTGCCCCTCGGCCTGCTCCTTGTCAGACCGGTGCTCTCAGTCTTCCTCGTCTCTGCCAGTCTGGCACACTTGGAGCATGTGTTTATTTTCCCTTAAGTGAGGATAGGCATTGCATGTTTTATAAACATTTGTGTTTCTTTTTTTTTTCTTTTCTTTTTTTTTTTTTAGTCTATTTATCTTGAGAGAGAGAGAGAAGGACAGAGAGAATCCCAAGCAGGCTCCACATTGCCAGTGCAGAGCCCAATGCAGGGCTCGAACTCACGAACCATGAGATCGTGACCTGAGGCGAAATCAAGAGTCGGACACTTAACCGACTGAACCGCCCAGGCTCCTCTAAACATTTTTATTTCTTTTTCTGTGAACTCTTTGGTCTTCTAATATGCCCTAATCCATTTTTTTCTGTTTGGTTTTTGATCTATATCTCTTTCTTTAAAAAGAAATCATTACTTTGTACAAGCTCTTTATAGATTGAGAAATTAGCCCTGTGTCAGTGAAATGAGTTGCAAATATGTTTCCCACTTTGTTGTTTATCGTGTCGTTTTTTTGTCTATGGTGCTTTTGCTATTCAAAATTTCCACACATTTTATGTAGTACAACCTATCAGTCTTTTTTCTGGTTATGCTTAGAAAGGACTTCTCTACTCTGAGATTATTTATTGAAGTCCGTCTATTTTTCCTTCTAGGATTGTATGGCTTCACTTTGTATGTTTAAATCTTCACTCTGTGGGAAATTTGTTTTCACGTAAGGTTTGAGGTAGGGATTGAACCTGATTTTTCTCCAGACGGGGTAACCATTATTATAAATATCATTCATCGCACCGAATCGTGCCAAGGTACTCTGTCCTCCTTCCCAACTGATACCATACATCACGGCACCTGGGTGGCTCAGTTGGTTAAGCGTCCAATTTCGGCTCAGGTCGTGATCTCACGGTTTGTGATTTCAAGCTGTCTGTGCAGACAGCTCAGAGCCTGGAGCCTGTGTCGGATTCTGTTCCTCCCCGCCTCTCTCTGTCCCTCCCTTGCTCTCTCTCTCTCTCTCAAAAATAAACATTAAAAATAATAATACCATATATCAACAGAAACAAGTTGACAGTGCACCTGATGGCCGAGTCCCCAGGACCCTTGTTAGTGAGTGTCTGGGATTCAGTGCCAGGCTTGGACCCCAGGGTGTTTTCCGGCCCGTGGGCATCCTCTCATTCCAAGGGGCCTAGCATCTGTTCACCGCTGGCATCCCCTTGCTCAGTGGGGTGCTCTGTGGGTCCAACTGGTTTCCTAAAGACTGGATCTGTCTTACATTTCCAGTGTCTCTCTGTCTCCCTGTGCCTGCTGTGGACCTTGTATTGGACTCTGTTAGCCGAGGCCCCACCGTGAACCAAGAGTTCATACACACTGCTAAATCCCCACAACGTTGTGACACACACCTCTGTCCCACTTTACATAAGGAAACCGAAGCTTAGAGAGTGGAGGTGGCTCATTCAAGGTCACACTGCTGATAAGTGACCCAGACAGGATTCGAATTCAGGTTCACCCGACTCTGAAGCCATCGCTCCTTCCACCCAGCCCAGCCACCACTAATGAAAACCCGAGCTAACGTGGACCGATAACTCACTGACTAGTCCTCGAGGCATGGGGAGGGTGAGTAGCTTCCACAAGTCCACAAAGCTGACAAATGGCAGAGCCGACACTTGAACGTGGACAGGCCAAGCCCAGAGTTCACATTCGTACCCACAAAACCGATCGTCGCCTGTCGTTAACTAATTACACTCAGTTGTGGATTCCTAAAACCCAGGCTTTTGTTTCCAGAGTTTAAATGCCATTCGAGATGAGTCCGAAGTGACCAACCTTGAGATGAAGGTAGCGGAACACAGCAAGGACATCACTGAGCTGTTCAACATGCTCATGACACTGGAGATGCAGTTGGTAGAGCAGCTGGAGGTGAGGCCGAACCCCTGGGGCACAGGTGTGATGCGATCGCGCCCTGCCAGTCTCCTTTGCGAGAACGTAGTGGATTCAGTGGCAAAACCGTATTTTATTTTATTGTTTTTTTCATAATTATTTTTTGAATGTTCATTTTATTTTGGAGAGAGACAGCGCAAGCAAGCGAGGGGCAGAGAAAGAGGGAGACAGAAGATCTGAAACGGGCTCTGCGCTAACGGCACAGAGCCCCCATGCGGGGCTTGAACTCACCAACGGTGAGATCGTGACCTGAGCTGAAGTCCGATGCTTAACCAGCTGGGCCACCCAGGTGCCCCCGAATGGTATTTTAGCTGGAGCCCTCCCAGGCGCTCCTCTGCTGTGTGACTCAGCACGGCGGACTAAAGCTTTCTTTGCTCATCCGTCCTGTGTTTGCTTTTAATATATTTCAGTCACTTAGATTGCAGTTGATTCTCACGCCCACATGTAGAGGTGAGCTCATTCCTCTGGAATGTACCCCCTATCCTGGAAGCACCCAGAGCCTCAGCAGGGAGAGCTATTTCTGATTAGACCCCAGGAGTCATCTGGGTGCTTGAAAGACAAAGTAGGCCCCCACTCTGGGACAAACAAAGGCTCCTCCGCATTGCAGTGCGTATTTGCCGCATCTCAGGGCCGCGCGCGGAGCCTGTGATTCAGCACGAAGCAGCGGAAATGCAGAGCGCCTCTCTCTAAAATTCCTTAGCAGCCAGAGTGCCTTGTGTGTTCACAAGGCAGCCAAGCCCGGGGCCTCCGAAGGCTGTGATAAATCAAACCTCATCGGATGCTGCCGTGGTCAGGCCAAGAGATCGCGCCTAATCAATCCCTCACATGTCAAGGGACACCTCAGACAGGGATAGATCTCCCCATCACGTCACATGGCAGGTGTTGGCTCCCACCGGGAGTGCTCAAGCACTGCAGGAAGCAGCTCGCAAGCGGCGGGGGAGGCTTAGGCAGCGGCTCCCAGCCTTTTCATGCAGGGAGATCCCCATTGCAGCGTCCCCAAAGTCCCCAGATGTGTACATGGTCGGTCGTACTTGTGTCACCAAGCAGCCAAAAAGCTCTAAGGTGCAGTCATGGTGACCCCATTTTTATTCATTACAACAGTGTTTACACACACATTTGAAACATGTATAATTGGCTCGGCCTGCAGACAGGGGTCGGACTGCTGTAGATTCCCCAGGGCCCTCGGCCCACCCTGTAGCCCCGGGAGTCTGTGCTAGATCAGGGGCATGACCTGGCCTGGGGCTCACAGGGGAGCAGGCCTCTCATCACCTCTTCCATTGCTCCCTCACTCAAGTCCCATTTCAGCCCTGGGGGACAGCTAAGCCCTGGGGGGCAGCAGTGCAGGGTGCCTCGGAGAGAGGTGGTAGGCATGCAGACAGCCACACTGATGGTGACAGGTCTGGGGCAGCAGCCAGCATCACCCAGGCACCTGGCAAAGCATTTCGTGTGAAGTAACTCCTGTAAACTTCACAACTCCACGAGACGGGGACTGGACTACAAAGGAAACCCACTTCACAGATGAGGATGTTGAGCCCCAAGGACATTAAACACAGTGGTGGAGCTGGGATACTGATCCAGGCAGTCTCTCGGCAACTCTCTCCCCTGCTTCTCTGGAAGTGATGGATAGATGCCATCATCGAGAAGCCCAAAGGAAGGGGGTTAGCTCTATGTGTGTACGTGAGGGTTACAAGGGGTGGGACCCGGACAAGTGTTCCTGGCAAAGGGACCAGCACGTGCAAAGGCCCGGAGGAAGCTTTGCATTAAACCTTGTGGGGGAGTGAGTAAGGTGAAATGGCTGGAGAGTAATGCAGCTGTGAGAAAGAGGTCAGGAGAGGGGGCCATTCATAGGCATCTACCTGGGAAGGTCAGGGTGGTTGGTCTTTACCCTGAAGGTCTGTGATTAAAGCAGGCACCTGCTAAGTTCTAAGGAGTGCCTTTTGCTCTGATGATAGGTCAGTCAAGTTCATGTCTAAATATTCATGTTAACTGTGCTCTTTATCATTTCCAGGAGACTATAAACACGTTTGAAAGGAACATCATGGACTTGGTGGCACTCTTTATTGAAAACGTCCAAAGCCTATATCCTTTTCCCAGATGACCCTCCATGGGGAGACGCTACTGGCTCATGGGGTTATCCTGGCCCACACCTGGGCTCCCCCTGCCTCCAGGGGAGCCAGAGGAGAAGCACCTGCATTTTATTTTTTATTTTATTTTTTTTTAATGTTTATTTATTTTTGAGAGACAGACAGAGACACAGCACGAGTTGGGTAGGGGCAGAGAGAGAGGGAGACACAGAATCCGGAGCAGGCTCCAGGTTCTGAGCTGTCAGCACAGAACCCGACGTGGGGCTCGAACTCATGAGCTGTGAGATCATGACCTGAGCTGAAGTCGGCCACTCAACCGACTGAGCCACCCAGGCGCCCCAGCACCTGCATTTTAAACAAAAGGCAGAGAAGGGTTAAAGCTTTTTCACCAACTAAGCAGGATGCAAATAAGTGGTCCCCTTCCAGGTAGCCACCTTTGGGGTCACACCTACCCCCTCCCACTGCCACCAGGGCCCTAAACATGTTGGCAGAGATGGCCAAAAAGTCCATACTTTAGAATACTTCACTTTTTGCCAGAAATACCTGAGCCCCAGTCTGATGTACAGAAAGATCTATACCTGTACCAAGATGATATCCACCCCATCACAGGACCCCATTTAGTGGGAATCTCGACCTGTGACGTTAGAGGAATAGAAATCCTCTAGTTTGTCACCACAGAAAAAGCTCACCTTCAAAAGATGGAGATTTGGCAACTACTTGGAATGTTCAAAGAATGTTCCACAGGGTCTGAGGGAGTTTCCCATCCCTCAGAACAATGGTGCCTTGTTAGCATAAGGGTTTGGATACCTACCGGGCTTGCTGTGTGGGGCCCCATCGATTGCAGTATAAGGCCTGGCATATTTGTTCTCAAAGGAGGGATGTTCACGGAGAGACCACACCCCAGAATCCCTGTCTGCTTCCTACGTCGCAGGTACACACACCCTGGGAGTGGGACAGATACTGACAAATCATTTAGAATGAGATCGTCAGGTTAAATGTCAGGGTTAGAGCATTTAGGGCATGACCAACCTTTCTGCTACCTGAATTCAGGGCCCTGCCGTGTAGGGGACAAACTGCTATGCTCTACCCCAGAAGTAGCCTCCTAGTCCTACCTTTCTGGGTCCACAGTCGTGCAAGGAGACAGAGTTACGGAGGCAGTAAGTGAGCAGCCCACACAGAGATCAGGGCCAGGAGCCTCCCTGAGGGAGGGTCCACTGAGAACCTGAGGGTGGGCCAGAGGGACAAGGCAGAAAAGTGGGGAGGACATCCCAGGCAGAAGAGGCAGCCTGTGCAAAGGCCTTGAGGATGGGTCACAGAGATCCAGTTCTAAGACGGGGTCTTTAGGCCACAAGGGAGAGTGGGAAGTTCCTGGAGAGCCATAGCATGGGAGGGATGAGGTCCGGTTACCTATGTTTAAGAGCGTGCTGGCTGCTGTTGGGAGAAAAGGCTAGAGCGGAAAGACCAGCTCTTTGCTGTCCAGTCAGGAGGCGGTGGCAGGGAGAGAGGTGTTGGATGGAGAGGCTCTGGGAGAACCCAGCGCCAAGGGTCAGTGGTGAGCAGGTGTGTGAGTGTTGATTGGGGGGGGGGCGGGGGAGTGGGGATCAGGACGGCCCTGGGATTTCGTGCATGTGTACCACTGGCTGTGAAGGAGGTGATGCATTGGCACCTCCAGGTGTGCCCCTCCACCCTTCAAAGTCCGTTCTTGCCTGGAGGAAACGGCCCCGCCCTCTGAGGGTCTGCAGACGTGCGGTTTGAGGGTTTGAGGGTCGCGACGCGCCTGGTCTGCTCCGATCCCTGGCCTTTGCTTAACTTGCCTGCACAATGGCTCAGTGCCGGGACCTGGAGAACCACCACCACGAGAAGCTCCTGGAGATCTCCATCAATACCCTCGAGAAGATACTGAAGGGTGAGCTCGACGAGGACCTGCCCTACGACGTGCGCGCTGTGAGCACTGTGGGCGGGGCTGTGGCTGCGGTGGGCGGGGCTCGAGCACAGTGGGCCCCCCCGCAGAGGTGGTGGGCGGGGCTGACACCCCCCCTCCCCCGCCCCCACCGCTCCCCCCAGGCTGACTGGCACAGAAGCCAGACAGATGCGGTGGGGCCGGCTCTGTGGCTCTGGTAAGCCTGAAAGCCTCCCAGAGCCTCAGCTTCCCCACCTGCAGAAGGGACAATGATGCCCTTTGCAGGGTGGTTGGCAGATGAAATAGGCCAACAAATAGAACAACCTTGGGTGCTCAGTGGGGCCCGACTAAAGAGGAGCTCATGATAATGAAGTGGTTTCAACTTACCGACAGGTTGGTTTCCAAAAGGTCGTTTCTGCGGGGCTTCTGGCAGTTTCCAAGAGAGGCAGTTGCAAATAGAGGTTAAGTTCTGAGATTTCTCCCGCAGGTTTTCCTAACCCTTGAGTATCTGCGATGGGCAGCACCGTTTCTGATCCCGCATGTCGCCCCTCCCACCCTCTACCAGCACTTTTGGTGATGCATAGTCCCAGATCAGCCGTCAGCCAGAGCTCGTGGGTCTGCTCACCTAGGGCGCTCCCTGGGTCCCCTGCGTTGGGGTCCAGTGGTGGCGCTTGTCTCATCTGCATTTACCACCCAGTCAAGCCACATTGTCCTTTGCGGGGACCACTGGCCTCCTCACTGCCCTCCTACAGGCTGTTCTCCAGGCGGCAGCCAGAGAGCCTTGGAAAACCACATCATTTTGTGCCTTTGCACAACACGCCCTAACGGCCTCCCGTGACCCTTGGAGTAAGCGCTTCGCTGTAGTGCACCAGACCCTCATGCCTGGCCCGCCTGCCTCAGCGGCCTCCTCCCCTCGCACCCTTGCTCCCCAGCTCGCTCCTTTCATTTGATATTCCACCCAGCAGACATGCCCTTCCCTCAGGTCTCCAGGTGTCTGGCTCGTCCTTGTTCAGCTCTCCGCTCAAATGGCAGCTCCTTGGAGGGGCCTTCCCTCGTCACTTCCCTGGAGAATCTCTGTCTATCACACACCCCATCCGTCGTTGTCAGAGCACTTATTACAATTTCAGGCTCTCGCGCTTGTGTTGATTCGCTTCTGTGACCATTCACAAAAGATACAGGCTCGCAGGGAAGGCAGGGGTGGCATCTTCTCCAGCACGTACCTCCCCGGTGCCAGCGAGGGCGCCCGGCACGGCTGCCGCAGCTCAGCCCAAGTGCCGGGAGTTCTCCAAGCCCCGCTCTGTCGGTGCTGGCCGAGTCCCGCAGACAGAGCCCGGCAGTCCCGACGCCCACAGCCTCTGTCCAGGGCAGAGACAAACACCTGGCTCGGTGGCACAGGGGCGGGGCCTCCCCAAACACCTGCCAACTGCTGTTGTTGACCAGACACAAGAAGATGTCATTTTCCCTGAGCCCTGAAATAACGCTGCCCCCAAGAGCCCACTCTGCTATCCCCCGGATGGACCACCGAGGGAGGGGTCATGCCGTTCCCTCACGGCATGGCTCCCAGGTCCGTGACACCTCGTGGGTGCGGGAACGAAAAATCCCTCCCCAATAACTGAGACGCACAGAAAAAGAACGGCCCCGAAACTCAGTGGCAGACAAGCAGGCTGGACTGTCGGCAGGGGGGAAAAAGGGATGCCCTGGCTGTAAAAAGTAACAATAACAACAAACGGCTGACATTTACCGAGGGCCTCCTGGGGGCCAGCTGTCTGAGAAGCCCCACGCAACGTATTTGCTCTTTCAGTCTCCACATCAACATGGTAAAATGGGTACCATTACGGTTCCCTTTTACAGATGAAAAAACTGAGGCATCGAGAGGAGAGTAACCTGCCCAAGGACACGCAGCGTAGAAGTGGTAGAGTTGATCTGAACACAGGCAGTGTGATTCAGAGCCTGTAGCAAGACAGGGACGTACCCAAGAAAGGATCTGGCTTCTCTTATCTAATTATCAGTGAGCATATCACGGTTCAAAATCCCACCGATGACGCTGACGTTATCTCTTTAAAACTCCTCTCATCCAGTTGAGTGATTGTGATCAGCTCTTGCAGAAGTTCGGGCCAAATCTGTCTTTTGAAGTCCTTCGCTGCTTTGGAAGGAAAGGCAGAAGGCGCGTGCGTGCTCCAGGAGCAAGCCTGGAGGGAGGGGGCGGGAGGGGCGCTGGAGGCACAGCTGCCCGTGGCGAGGTCAGCGTGACAGCAAGCACATGCCGCTGCTCCCCTCCACCGGGGCCGAGGGCACTCAGCCTCGTGCTGCGATGAGCCACTGCCACGTTTAGGGGGCAGAAGGAGGTCAGACTTGCTCCGGGGCTCTGAACAGCTGTGTGGCGTCTAGCTACGAGGGGCCGCGAGGGGAATCTGGAATACTCTATCCCTAGGAAGTATTCTGAGAGGGCAAACTGATACAGCCATCACCCCAGTTACTCCAGGACACCTGAGGTCCAGAAACAACTTGCATTTTAATTTTTTTTTTTTTAATTTTTTTTCCAACGTTTATTTATTTTTGGGACAGAGAGAGAGCATGAACGGGCGAGGGGCAGAGAGAAAGGGAGACACAGAATCGGAAACAGGCTCCAGGCTCTGAGCCATCAGCCCAGAGCCCGACGCGGGGCTCGAACTCACGGACCGCGAGATCGTGACCTGGCTGAAGTCAGACGCTTAACCGACTGCGCCACCCAGGCGCCCCTGCATTTTAATTTTTTTAAATGTTTGCTTATTTATTTTGAGAGAGAGAGCACGCGCGCACGTGTGCACACAGAAGAGCACAAGCAGGGGAGGAGCAGAGAGAGGGAGAGAGAGAATCCCAAGCAGGCTCCACGCTGTCAGCACACAGCCCGACACGGGCTCAAACGCACGAACTGCAAGGCCATGACCTGAGCTGAAATCAAGTCGGATGCTCAACTCACTGAGCCACTCAGGCGTCCTGCCACTTGCATTTCAAAATCCTTTCTTTAAACCAGATTCCTTTGGCTTGTATTCTACAAATGCCACAGTTCTTCATGACCAGTTCTAACTTCATCAGTTTCTAAGCAGACTTTTACTTCCACAGTTCCCAAAGCATATTCTACATATCCAAACTCAGAGGGTGGGGGGACGACGTCTCCCCTTGGCTTAGAGACCTGCTACGGCCCATTTTTGTATAAGGTTTGTTTATTTTTGAGAGAGAGCAAGCAGGGGGAGAGGCAGAGTTGGGGGCGGGGGGGCAGACAGAGGATCCAAAGCGGGATCTGTGCAGACATCAGAGAGCCCAATGAGGGGTTCAAACTCATGAGCCGTGAGATCACGACCCGGGCCAAAGTTGGAAGCTTAACAGGCTGAGCCACCCAGGGGCCCCTGACCCATTTTTCAAAACCACCAGGAACATCTTGTGATGAGTGAGTGTGGCTGTAGCTACTTCTAGGTCATCAGGGCATGCTCCAGGACAGGCTGCCTCAAGCTGACAGGCTGGAAGGGCGTACACATCTTTGAGCCCTTCCCAGAGTCTGGCCTGGGAGCCTCTATGCACAGAGGAAGATCTTGATAACTTCTTGTCATTTGTCCCATGTAGCCGTGCTAGCCGGTCCCCCAGGTGCCCATTCCCTGCCCCAGCTAGCCGGGCTTTTCTACATGGGATTCTATGGAAAACCACCAACCCACAAGGTGTTCACAGGCATTACTCTGAAAAGAAGCCTGTGGCCAAATAAACTGGCAAACCAAGAGGAACAAAGTTAAAAGGGTTTATACTTTCCAGAGCCTTCTCTGGAAAAATGTTGTGCGCCCTGTGAAATTCAGGAGGGGCCTAGGGTGTGCAAGGCTTTCCCAAATGTATTCGACCAAAGAAAAAGTTTTTTATCTCAAGATTCCATAGAACATATTTTTGGAGACTATTAAGTTAACCACTACTAGATTACAGAAAACAAACAAGTATTTATCTGCTCTACAACGTAGAACATTCAGGTCCCCTGCCTTACACAAAGTACCTTCCTTCAAAGTGGAGGCAACTGTTGGCTAAGGCTTTGGAAGCCTTGCCCTACTCTGGGAAATGATTCCACCTGATTTTCAACAAGAGCTATAGTGTGGACATCTAAAACCGGCCAGGCCTGGTAAGGGGTGGTCATTTTCAACAACTTTTAAAACATTTTTTTTAAACACTGTTTATAAGAGACAGCACAAGTGGGGTCGGGGCAGAGAGAGAGAGGGAGACAGGGAATTCGAAGCAGGCTCGGGGCTCCAAGTTGTCAGCACAGAGCCCGATACGGGGCTCGGACCCGTGAACCGTGAGACCATGACCTGAGCCGAAGTTGGACGCTTAACCGACTGGGCCACCCAGGCGCCCCGTTTTTCGACAACTTTTTAGAAGGCAGAAAACAAGGTCGGGAACAAGAAGGCAGGAGACCCCAAGTGTACTCCAAGGTTCAGTCTGGCTAACATGAGGGGCAATGGAGAGACAACATGGGGTGCAGAGGCATCGATTTACAGGGCCCTCTGTCCTCAGAGCAGCCTGGAGACCCTTCAGCCAGACTCACGCTTCCCACCTGACCAGCCGGTTTCAGGCGAGTCAGACTTGGGGGCAAGCAAGAGAGAACCACTGTGAGAGCAGACGTCCTGAAGAAAACACACTCCCAACTAGCATTGCAAAGTCGACGCCATGGTGGGCCCTTTCCCCATAACATTTGCCGCTGCTCGGGTCTAGGAGGCGTTGTCCCTGGAAGGTGGGCTGTGACACGAAGGTGGGTTCTCCACCTTCAGCAGCGGTGAGCAGCTGCCTCCACTAGCCAGGGGACACTCAGCTGGTTTTCTCTCTGGCCCTCTTTGTGCCGGGGCGGGGCAGGGGGGGGCGGGCGGGGAGCGTGGTAACGAGACACATGCTCCCTTGACCTTTCTCGCTCACCAGCTTTTTGTCGACAAAGACACGATTGTTAATGCTGTTGGGACGTCGCATGACCTCCACCTCCTGAAGATCGACAATCGAGAAGATGAGCTGGTGACACGGACCAACTCTTGGTGCTCACACTTAGTGGACGCGGTGAGTGAACGCGCGTCACGTACACACTGTGCCCAGGTCTCTAGCTACCGGCCGGAGAGAAAGGGGAACTCTTTCCCCGGTAGCATAGACTCTTTGCAATAAGAAATAAAGTAGGATTAAGGATGGCAAAATTCCACACTGAAGACAGCGTTTGCCCCCACAGACTTTAAAAACCCCCCGTGCTAACCCGTCCTAACTCCTGCCTCAAAGACACGGATAAATGGATCGAGGAGGCTTTAAAGTAAATGCGGATGGAACTATGCACATTGCAAAGAACGATTTCCTTTCCCCCAAATCGGACTCAGAGAACGTAAGCGAGTTCTCTGACTTAAGGACCTCGGGCTTTGGTTTCACCCCTCAGATCCACAAGGATGAGATCATGAGGAACCGCAGGCGCGTGAAGGAGATCCATCAGTACGTCGACCACGTACGGAACGAGCTGGACAACCTGGAATGCAGCGAGATCATAGATTAGGGCCGCGCCAGCCCAGACGGTCCTTCCCGATGCAGCCCTCAGCCCAAGAGCACACTCACGCGACCGACAGCCTCAGAAGCGTTTCTGGGAATTGCTCAACCCAGAACCCTCCTAACCCCATTCTTCCCCCACCCCTGGGAAGGGTAGAGAAAAATAAAGAATTATGTCATCTTTTCTCCGGTCTTTAAAAAAATAATCAGAATTCCCGTTCGTCCCTGAGCAGGAGAAACAGTCCAAGACAAACAACTGGCCAGCCTACTGAGAGCGACCTCTTGAGGGGGCTGCCAGTGAGCCAGGAGACTCTTGGCCAGGGCCCGGTGACAGCTGTGCGCCCACCGTTTCTGACGCGCCCAGGGCAGGCTGCTGGCAGTAGGCGGAGGAGGCGGACATGGTCTGAGCCCTTCTCTCCTCGTGCTGAGGAGTGACGCCCGAGGCCGCAGACCCCAGCATAGCCCTGGGGCCTGGGCCAGCCCCCCAAGGCAGAGGCCGTGGCTCCCTGTGGCTCTAAGTTGGCTGCGGGGACCAGAGTACCCTCTGGAGGTTAAGGGCACGGGCTGGACCTCCCCCATCACCTGTGCAGCCTGAGCTTCGTCTATGAGGTGGGGGAACGACAACAGTGCCTCCTCTGAGCACGGTCAAGGGGGTCAGGGAGGGCACGTGGAAAGTGTGGAGAAGCACCCCCTCCATGAGGGGGGTGATGCCATTTTATTACTCGGGTACCAGGACAGGCGGCTCAGACTCTTTTGCTGCCCAAACTCTCGGATTCTTCCTGCTTCCCTTGCACTGGGTCCTGGCACCAGGAGACCGCACCTGCCACCCAGGGCAGAGCAAGTGGCCACGTCGGGAGGACACGGAGGGCTCCTGGAAGGAGGACACAAGTCAGGTGGCCTTGCCCTGCCTGCCTGGGCTTTTAACCCACAAACAACGCCTATTTTCTATTTTCGAGAGTAAATTATTTCTTCTAAAATACCAGGAACAGAAATAACCAGCTTAGAACAAAAAGGACTCAGTTTCAAAAGATGGTTTGATTAAAACCCGGGGTTGGGGGTGGGGGGGAGTCTTCAGGCCGAGGGCTGCACAGAGTTGTGTGTTGACGTGATTTCCCCATTGCGTGAGGCTCCCGGCCACGGGCGGCAAAGAGCAGAACGTGCCGTGGGAGGTAAGCTGTTTGACCTTGGTGAAACCCAGACACGACAAGAGGGACGGAGAAAAGTGGAGGTGCAAATGAAAACAGGGCTTCGCATTTCCAGGGCAGAGAAATATTTAATAAAATCAGGTTGGGAGGAAGTCACTGGTTTGCTTGGCTGGCTCGCTGGCTGCTGGCCGGGGCGGGGGCACCCAGCTCGGACTCGAGCTAACCTCGACAGCCGCCCTGGGTCCTGGGGGCATCTCGGGGCAGCGCCGAGCTGGGGCGTCTGTGGCCGTGCGTGCAGCCTCTGTCCGGCTGGGGCTGCCCGCCCCGCCTCACTGCTGCAGGAGCTTGTGTTTCACCGTGGCGCTCTCGGAACAGAGGTGGACGAAGAGGGTGCCGGCGGCCGTGCGCGCCCGCAGCTCCCGCAGCTCGTAGTCGTGGGCCCACTCGATGTTGCCCCACTTCTGGATCTGAGGGGAGGACGTGACATGCCGCTGGGTGACTGGCCAAGTGTCCGCGTGCCGACCGGCCAGAGCCACATTCCACCCCAATAGCTGGGGTGGGGGGACCGGACTGGGCCCCCATCTTGCCAAAACACAAGACCCCCACGGGGGAGGCGGCAGGTGAGAACACGCAGGTGGGCAGAGCAGGCAGCCATGCTGACGGGGTGCGGACAGTTTGGGAGGGGTGCCGTCCAGGTCCAGGGCCCAGAGGCACCCACTGCCACAAATGCCACGTGCATCTCCCCCCCAAGGGGGCCCAACCCGAATGCCATCCTCCTCCCACAAGGAGGCTGGTGGGAGGCAGCCTGGAAAATGTCATCCTCTGCAAGCTGCCTTGCTGGGCTGGG